ACAGCGTATCATTTCATTAGTTTGGATGTAGATTATATACATTTGAAAACGTGTACATATAATTATATCTGTAAACTTTAAATATACACTTATATATTAAATATATTATTTGACATATGATATTTACGTATAACATAATATTTACATATGTAGTCCAAGTACAAATTACATATATTATAGACCACATTTACATATAGAGTTCAAGTGCGAAATACATGTATAGAACACACATAGTATTTACATATACATAGTTCAAGTGCCAACTCTTGTGCATCAACTCCTTGCAGTTACATATGAGAGAGAGGGATGGTCGGTACACCGAAATCATTATTACAACAAATCAATGACTGCGGGCGAAAAGAAAATTAATATGCTTTCCGAATCTTGACGGAGAAGTCCGGTCCATGACAATCTGGTGACATTCTCGTTGCCTGCTCATACATGTTCTATGGAATTACAGGGACATCTTTTTTTAAAAAGATGTCCCCGACACAGCCAGCCTCCCCACGTGCTCTGCTATGTGGAAGGCATGGCTTCCTCTTTCAGGGGGGAGCTTTGGGTTCCCAGCAGCTTCTTTAGCTCCTGTTTACTGTGTTTCCATGACAACGGTCTGAGGTGTCACCACCCTCAGGCTGAAGGCAACCAGGGAGGTCACTTTGTCCGAGCCCTGGGCACTAAGTGATGTGGCAGAGGTCACCTGGCTTAATTAGTGACCACGACAGTTGAAATCTCGGGCGACCTCGTCCTCCAGGTTAGCGATGTAGTCGGGAGCCCGCTGCTTTTTATGGACGATGACGTGATCGTCCATTCCCTTAGGCTTGGAACATGACCTTGGAAAAAACAGTTTACATTTTTCCTTCGGTTTTTAATTCTAAGATATTTTGATCGTGCAGGAGAAAATAAAGTTACTGAGTCAAACTTTGCAGACACGCATCTTGTGATTAAAATTTTCACTGTAAAAGAATCATACTCGTAAAATGTATACTCTATATATTTAGAAATAAAGTTTAAACAGACATACTGCCAGAGTACAAAATGAAGCGTTACTAATATTTTTGTATATCCATGTGAACTACTTCACTGTCAACTCTCAGAGGCAGTGATTACCCCCAAATTCGGTTTTAATAATGCCCTAGCTATTTTAATGTTTTAGTGCAAATATAGCACTAAGCAACAGACCGTTCAGTTTTATGTAATATACCAAGAAAACCACATGTGTATTCTTCGGTGACTTGCTTTTTTTATGTTTTGAGATTTATCCATTTGAATACCATCTCAGTTGTTCGTTTTTTAGTGTTGTATTGTTTTAAGACTCCTTCCAGCTCATTTACTTTCTTTCTCGTTAGTGTTGTATTGTTTTAAGACTCCTTCCAGCTCATTTACTCTCTCTCTCTCTCTCTCTCTCTCTCTGTCTCTGTCTCTCTCTCTCGCTCTTGTTTTTTGGAAGATGCATCCGTAGCGTTCTCTTTCTTTTAAGGTTTTCCCCGGTCACGGACAGGTAACGCCATCAACACCCCAGAGACAGATTTTACCTCTTGTACAGACGAAACAGCAAAATAAACGTGATCGGGGCCCACCTTATGGAAATACATACTTTAAAATTAAACCGATCTCAAGTCGAGGGACGTGCAGTGTCGGGAGAAGTTTATTGCAGTTTTTATTTCGACTGACTTACAATCTGACATCCTTGAATGGTGTGAGCCTCGTCTTAATTACGACCTCAGAGAAAAAGACTGCCCCAGAGAGAATGATTCTAAAATACCCAGTCAAGGTATAAATCAGTGGCAGCACGTCTCTCAGATCTTGCTGCGACCTTGGCAGGGAACACGTGCTATGAAGCCCTTTAGCCCCAAATTGCATGTATTCAATGAAGTCGTGGTTTTTACTTTCTTTCATTCAGATTTTTACTCAGATTTTTGTAGTATCCCATTTTCATTTGGAGAAAATGAAAAACTGTAGCTATAAATATAAAAACAGAGTATGTAAATATGTTTATCTAATATACATTAAAGATATATATATATTTTTTTACTGAGGTTTCACCCCTTTTCCTGTGTGAAGTTTACACGGGAGGTCTTTCATTTTTTTGTCTGCAAGTATATTGGTTCAGTTTATACCGATTTCTTTCATGATGTCGATGCATATTCAGTAGTGTATTGTCAAAATCTTCATTACTCGTGATGGCAAAACTTTTCAAGTTTTTAAATGTTCAGATGTCACTTGCAGACACGCATGTGCATGCACGTCTATCCACACAAACAGGCATGTAATGCCTCTGGTTATAATCCTTCGGTGTGCCCATGGAAGCTTACGTGCCCACCGGCATTGCAGATCTGGCGAGTTAGTCTGCTGGTCATCACCCTGAAATGACTTCGCCCCAGTCCTGTAGAAATGTCTGGAGACACTTTTGACTCTTATAGTATAGTGACGAGAAGATGCTCTTGGTGTCCGGTGGGTGGGGACCAGGGACGCTGCTCGGTGCCCTGCATCGTCCAGGACGCTCCCCCGCCACAAAGAGTTACAGGGTCCCGAACATCACCAGTGCCAAGGTCAGGATACTCTGGACCTGAGATTGTATTCTTTCCATGAAAATTGTGTTGTTTCAGGCGCTGATGATGATACGTGAGCTTTGGGACTCAGATATGTAACTGGGTTACTGACCGTAATAATAATAATAATAATAATAATAATAAATGGAGGAAATGAGGTAGCACTGAACTCGTGACTACTACGGACGCCTCACCTAGACCTGGGGTGTGCTCAGAAGCCCCCAAGGTCCCATCTTCTCCTGCTGGTCCATATCTCTCTCTGGCTTTCAGAACCTTGTGGGGAGGGAGGTTTAGCCGGGGGGGAGACTGGGTCGCACGACCCCAGCATGAGGTCTGGGGGTGACGCGTTCGCTTGCAGGGTCCTCGCGACTATGGGATTCGTCAGTCGTCCCATCCACGCCGAGTTGGAGGACCGAAAGTGGGGGCCGCAATGCCCCCCGGAGTTCGTTCACAGGTACCAGGACGAATGTACCGACCGAGGCTACCTCTTCCGTGTGCTTTCGGGAGGCCGTGTCACATGTCGTGTGGACGCTCTCGTTAAATCCCCAGACACTTACAGCCGTCACCCCTTGTGTGTGGTTTCCCCCTCTGTGCCTTCTGTTACCCTCAGTGGACCGCGCGGTCCAGAAATCTTCCAAGGAAAATTCCAGAACCGAACAACAGTCCGTGAAGTTTCGAATCGCTCGCCATTCTGAGCAGTGTGGTGGGATGTCACGAGCCCAGCTCCTGGGTGTCATGAGCCATCTCTGTGTCCGGCGTCTCCACCCTGTAGACAGACCTGTTACTCAGTGTCCCTGTGGGTGATCACGCTGACCGGCATGTCACAGTGCTTGTCTTCACGGCACCATTAATTATTTCACTTCACGAAGACACCATCCCGTAACCGTTCTCACAGTCTGTTGTTAAAATTTTTCTATTCTCTTGTCAGCTCGTGTTCATTTCTTACCGTGCCTAATTTGTAAATTGATCGTAGGTAGTTGGGTGTAGGAACGGACATAGCGTGTGTGGTGTTTGCTACTGCCCGGGGTTCAAGGCGTCCACTAGACGTCTTATCCAAACAGATCAGGGGAGGGAGGCTCAAAAGCAGAGTTTTCTGGAAGGAGGGGCTGTGGATATGCCTCCCCTCTGCTTTGCTGTCTGTCTCTTAATGATTTGGACGCTGGGTCACGCCGTGGCGGACATCCAAATGTTGTCTACGGTGCAATGCAAACACAGAGGCGACCCCATACATACATCAGCCACTGGACGTGATGTCACTTTTCAGTTTCAATGTTGCGGTCTATATTTTTTTACCATTTTCATTCGGCCATGATTCTCAGGCCCCAGAATGTGGCACTTGCCCCCAAAGACATTATAGCTCCACGATAGATCTGCGTGTGATACGTTTCATTAAAAAAAAAAAAAAAATGAATCGGTTTGAGATATCCTGCTCTGCTGTTCACTTAAAAAGAGACGTAATTACGTTCCAGTCCAGAAATACTTTGCAGAACTCGCAATGTCTTTACCAAGCTGTTTGCCCAGTTTCGCGTCGAAGGATGCTGTATTTAAAGGTGTCCTCCTCGCAACACCCGATGACGCGTTTTCTATCCCCAACGGGTCGTTCACACTGTCTTCTTACACACAGCGTGTTTAAGCCTCCGCGAGCAATGTTCGTCTAGTCTGAGCCCCGGGATCCACGTCGCAACGAAGCGACGAAGCGGATGTTTTAAAAGCTGAGTCCGCCTGGGCTCAGATGGATGTTAAGCTTTTAAAATAGGCTTCGGGGTTGACCCTCAGAGGCATATAACGTTCCATATGTGTCAACACCTTTAATTGCGAATGCCGTCTCTATGGGACAAGCACTACGGCTTATACGTGACATGTCCGTCTCGTTCGGTTTTTGACAAAGATGCCACGAGTCATGGTGATGGCGTACGCAGGCTGAATGAAGATGTGTGCTCTTGGGTTGCCTGAGCAGGATGAGTATCCAGTCTATGCTCTTGCCATTAGGAGATGAGATGCATGATTTTTTGTCATTGTTCTCTGTTAAATATCCACAGGTCTTGAGCCAGTTTGGCCCAGATGCGTGTTTCCTTTTTCCTCATCCCTGAGAACTTAGAGCTCATCAGAGAAGCAGGGGTTGGGGACCCGCGGTCCACCGATGGGCCCGTCTTATCAATAACGGTGGAATCGGGTGGCGTCGTGACAGTGGTCCGCGTAACGTGTATAGCTTTTGGGGATTCGCTCGTTCATTTATCGGTGGTTTCAGGTGACGGGCACGCAGCAAGGATGGCGACACGCGATAGCCAGTCTGGCTCGATCGCACTCCACAGAGACAGCGCTGTAGAGATTCACACGTGAATCAGAATTTCATAGCACAAGGTGGAGGGCGGCACGGAAGAGGCAGCACGTGGCATGGTGGCAGATGTCTTGGTTTCATCCTCCTTGTCTGCTTTCTTCTTCTTCCACCAGGCGGACCGCCCTGCCCTGGAGTTTTCATAAGGAGCCGTCGTCGCCCTCGGGTCGTGTTGGACGGTCACCGCTTCCTGGGAGCCTGCCGCTCGGGGGACATAATCCGTTCCGGGATTAAGGGGCGGCTGTTCTGTCGCGATGGGCTGCCTGCAACACCATTTGGTGCGTCCGTAACTTCGTGCTCTGTCTATGACCCATCTGCGGGACTCCCTGGCCAGCCCGTCCCCTCTCCCAGGTCTTGGGCTCCCTGGAGAGCCCCCTCTCTCGGCGGCTGGCTTCACGGCGTCGTGTGCTTGGAGCTGTACCCCACAGACACCCGCGGATGTGCAGTGAACAATGTCGACACCCAAAGGGCTGTTATGGCTTCCCCTGTTTTTCACGCCGGTGTGCATCATGGTGAACCCCCACGTCGTCCTGTGGATCACCGCTCTCGCCATCAAGTTCACCCTCATCGACAGCCAGGCACAGTACCCCGTCGTCAGCACAAATTATGGCAAAATCCGGGGCCTACGGACACCGTTGCCCAACGAAATTCTGGGTCCAGTGGAGCAGTTCTTGGGGGTCCCTTACGCCTCGCCTCCCACTGGAGAGAGGCGGTTTCAGCCCCCCGAACCTCCGTCTTCGTGGACCGGGGTTCGGAATGCCACGCAGTTCGCCGCCGTGTGTCCTCAGCACCTGGACGAGAGGTCGCTCTTGCACGACATGCTGCCCATATGGTTCACTGCCAACTTGGATACTCTCATGACCTACGTTCAGGATCAAAATGAGGACTGCCTGTACTTGAACATCTACGTGCCCACGGAAGACGGTAAGCACGCGCTTTAGACAGGAGACCCCTCGCCCCCCGCCCCCGCTCCCTCAGCCTAAGAGCCTTGCCGGGAGGGCTTTGTAACGAACGCCCTGTGCCTCGTAGTCTCTGTAACCTATTAATTGTTTGCTCACGCTGCAAATGCAGATGACGTAGTCACTTCCGATTTGGTCTACGCGTGTTTACCGAGCGTCTCGTGGATGGCCAAGACTGAAATGAAACTCTTCACGGTGTCTAGAGTTTGCTTTCAGCCTTGTTGCTGTGCTCGTTTGCAGGCTCTAGCTCGTGGGAGCGTCTGCGCGTTTCATGGTATACCTGATCCATCCGTGGAGAAAGGAACCTATCGAAAATAATAGAATTAAGAAAATTATTGCGTTAAGTTTGTAAACTGGAAATCATAACGAATGCTTCCGTTTGTTTTTATGCCTTCACTTTTGTAGTTTTTTATTTTTTTCTGGTTTGTTTGTTTAGAATCTTGAAAGGAACCACTGATTGTGTCAAATACGCAATCAAGGGGTATTTTATGAAACCGTTGGATTTCGTTTTTTAAAATCCGTGTCGTTGACCTAAATTTGGGCGCTGTTTTCCCCCAACCTTCGCTGCAATCAAATGGCAAATGTGTGTCATCCGACGATTCTAGCTACATTAGAAAATAATGTGCTCGCTTGAACAAAATGGCCCTTTTGTTTTCAATGATCACAGTCACGAAAAAAAAAAGTCTCTGAAAACTGTCATGTTCGATATGATGTAATCCAGCACTAGTAACACTTGGAGACTTCCTGTCCGTGTAGATTTTAAACTATAGTATATTATAGAGGTAAACCAGAAGAAAGTTATGCTCTGGGGTGCCACTTTTGTAATTTACCATTTGCTGATGCTATGTTTAGAAAAAGAACAGAAAGCATAGAATCGTGCATCTTCCTGGCATTTCAGGAAATAATTGACGAGGATCAAAGGCGTCGCCTGCCACAGAAGCTAATGTGTCCTTTGTAACCTTCATGAAGGGACGTCTTTTCTTTTCCCTTAATCCTGGCAAAGGGTTTTCCAGTGAGATTTGGCCGGCGGTCTGAAAAAACCGATCGCGTTATTCAGTGATGTCCCAAACCGGATCTTCTTTCTGTGCGTAGACGCTAAAAGGTGGTGTGAGGGGAGGGGTGTCAGGAGCCCCCGGACCACGGTCGTCCGTTGTGGACGCCGCAGACACCCACGGAAAGAAAGGGAAGGGCCGTGCTTCAGCACATGCCCCGTTTCTGTTCTGGCCTGCGGCCCTTGTCGCCATGGCAACAGAACACAATTATCTCGTGAAGTGCAGGTCCGAGCGCTAGGGCCGGAGAGAACCTGGCATCGGACGCTGCACTCCCACGATCCTGCCCAGCTGCCGCGTGGGGACCGGGCCCCCAAAGCGGCTTTGCGCAGACGTCACAGCGTTAGTGATGGCTCCCGAATGCAATCACGGTTCCCATTGTACAAGCCGCCTGGCTGGCCATCCTTGGTCCTAATGAGCTATTCAAATTAAAATAATAATAATAATAATAGTAATAAAGAAAGAAGGAAAGGCAGAAAGAGGGGAGGAAAGAACTCGAACAGGGGAGTCCATTAGAATGGCTTTCGCACTACAGTGGCTGGGCTCGTCTCTGAGAGCCGGTGACTTTATACAGTTAACCTCAAGGACAGTGACCGCACGTCAGGTAGAATGCCGCCTCACAGGAGAGGTGGGACCCAGTCGGACCACCCAGGAAGGAAAATCAGTAACGTCCTTATGACAGAGACAGAGATGTGTGGTTGTGTTTACAGAAACCCTAAGCCATCGCTCCATCTCACTATGGCTCAGGCATGCAGAGGAATCTGGGCCTGTCGACACGTGGGAAGAGCCCCCTGATGGAAAAGCATCTAAACCGAGGGAGCGATCCGAAGCCACTAGTTGACTTCTTGAGCTTTTTTTCGTGCAGTTTTGCATACAGTATCTCGCGTGATCCCGACGAGGCTGTTGGGCATGTCACAGGGGCGGGAAAGGTAGAACCAATCTTCCGACGGTATGTGGATATTGGGATTTTGCTGGTGAGCGTTCGCAGCTACATGCCTGGCTGTTGGTGCAAACAACAAACCACAGCCTTTCCGGTCAGGAGTTTTGTGGTTTTATTAAGTATTTGCATCAGTTTGAGAATCCGTGTGGGGGCCTAGATAGTTCATTATCGGTTACTCTCTAGAGGATAAACCCCACCCGCAGAATAACACACGGAAATTACAGCTGATTTCCCCAAAGTTCTTATTTTAGGAAACATCTAATTCGCATCAGTACATTTAATTAGCAGTGTAGACAGCGAGATTGGGTATTTGCAATTCAGAATTCCACTCTGGTACTCCGTGTTTTGAGATTTGTCTTTTCGCTTGGATCAGAGGCTGTGGGTGAAGAGCTGGCATCACTTTACTACCCGAAATAGTTCTGAGGACTGTCTATGTGCCAGTCACGTGTTACATGTCAGGGATGTAACGCACTCGTAATTCTGAGACAGAGACGCTTGTAGGCATGATGATGACTCCCCAAAGACACGCAGGCTCCAGATACGTTCTGCAGATACGTTCAGATACGTATCTGAAGATACGTTCCCTTATGTGGCAAAGCAGAATTAAGGTTGCCGATGGAATTCTATTTGCTGATCGGTTGAACTAAAGGTAGGGGGGACTGTATCTAGGGTACGTGGGTGGGCCCAGGCCCAATATTTAGTAACAAAGGCCGTTAGTCATGGAAGAGGGAAGTCAAAGAAGATGTTAGAGCCACAGAGAAAAAAGGTGGGAATCTCAGCTGTTTTGAGGACGGGAGACAGCCAGGAGTCAAAGGATGTGGAAGCCTCTAGATGCCGGAAAAGTCAAGAAAATGGATTCTCCCCCTGAGACCCCCTGTCCCACCCAACAATACAGCCTTGCGAACCTCGATTTCAGCTCAAGGTCACTCCAACCATCTCAACTGAAAGATAATACGTGTGAAAGACGATACACGAAGCCAGGACGTTCGCGCCCGTAGAAAAGTCATACCTAGTCTTGGCCGCCTTTCATAGTGTCAGAAATCCAGAGCCAGTGATCTGCCTCACTGGCAAATCAAGGAATTGGCGAAGGCTTCTTCAGAGCTTTCTGAAGGCCCACGCGTTCTCAGGTTCTAATTCACCTGCTTTGTTTTCTGTCTCAAGCGTCTAAACACTGGGAGGCTGACATTTGCTGCGTTCCCTCGTGCGTATCAAGGAGAAAAATCTCGTTTTAGCTGGCAAGGAGACATTTGGCCCCCTAGAAGCGTCAACACGAAAGAAGAGAGCCCGAAGCTTTCGTTCGGCGGGTCATGACGGCCTCGTGGCAAAGAATCCTTAATGTCACATTCAGAAAGATACACGGATTTTACACGGGGAAATAATGAAGGGCCGTTTCAGTTTTCACAGGCATCTAAGACCGATGCTCAGAAGGAATGTCATCGAATAACAGATCGATAGCAAAACAAACGAGTCATCCTCCTTCCTCATCTCTCCCCAGCCCATCTCACTCACGATGGCAGCTGTGCCTCTCCGTGGCTTCTGTCCTACTTATTACCCCTCTTAGCAAAAACTCGTGGGCCCCCCTACCCCTCGTGGCCTGTCCCTCCAGCCCCCAAGATCTGATCTGTTCTGGGCAAAAGGGATTCTCTACTCTTCCAAACACACGGTTCTCGATAAGTTAATTTATTGACAGCATGTAGGTTAATTCCCTCCCCCGTTTTACTGGGGTACCACTGACACACATCGCCGTGTGAGTTTGGGGTGTGCAGCCTCACGGTTGCACTGACGTGTGTCCGTTTCCGATGATGACCGCGATAATTGAATTAGCATTCACCATCTCATATATATACCATAGGAAGCAGGAAAAAAGAAACGAAATGATTTCTTGTGATGAGGGCTCAGGATTGACGCTGTTAACCTTCACACAGACACACACACACACACACACACACACACACGTGTGCGTGCACACACACACACGCACACTCACATATACATCATGAAGCCATGCTAACTATAGCCACCGCAGTGGATGGCAAATCCCCAGGACTCAGCCATCTCATGACCGGAAGTTTGGGCCTCAGACCTCCTTCATCTAATTCCCCACCCCCCAGGTATGCCACCCCTCCTGGGGGAACCACATACGTGATGAGTGTGAGTTGCTTTGTTTTTGTTTTTAGACTCCACGTGTAAGTGACACCATGCATGTTTGTCTTTCTCTGTCCGACTTAATTCACTCAGCATAATACCCTCAAAGTCCATCCATGTTGTTACAGATACCAGGATTTCCTTATTCTTTTATGGCTGAATCGCATTCCTGTGTGTGTGTGTGTGTGTGTGTGTGTAGCACATCGTTATCCATTCATCCATCGATGGACACTTAGGCTGCTTCCATGTGAACTTGGCGGCACAGGTATCTTTTCTCTATGCCTTTTAATGTCTATTTGGCTCACTCCTCCAGCTCAGCTTAGAGCAAGGTCAAGAAATTACCAGCCCCGGTTCAAATGCCACCTTGTCCCCTGCCCAGCTGAGAGATGATGGGCATGGTATTAGGCTTGTCTGTGCCTCCGTTTTGTCATGTGTAACGTGGCTGTGTGATGCGGTGTTTAAGGCATTAATCCGTGTGAAGTGTCTATACTGATATCCCAAGCAGGTGACCACACTGTTATCCGGTGTTAGTGGAACATAATCAATAGAACAGGAAACCAGAACATTTCAGCTAACTCGCACGTGCATATTGGGTCTAACGTGTATGGGATCCAGCACATAATAAATGTGTCTTGGCTAGAACATAATTATTTACTGTCATAGTGGGGAGGGGTCAGCTTCGGAAATGGGGGCAAGAGGCTATTGCTTCTGACGCTTCAAAGTGTGGCTTTTTAACAAAAGGGAGTTTTGAGGGAGTAGCATTTTTTAAAAAGAGCAGAGATTTATTCTGTTCTGCTTTATCCCTGAGCTTTGTTCTGTTTTTCAACCGGA